TCATTATTTTGGTTCAGAGGCAGACGTCATATAATCCTGACTTAAATTTGCTTCTACTTAATGTCTTACAGTGTCTATAATTGCATGACGAAGCTGTCTTTCCAACTAAGAAAAAGTATGAATTAATCATTATAATATAGCCATTGCATGTTTAAAGTGCAATTCTCAAGATATCTCACACAGAACCACTGGGATTGTCCAAATTTATGCAATTCGGTATAATATGAGTTTTTAGCTCGACTAGCTGTTTAAAGAATTATGAACTATCCAAGGCCCATAAATCTAATGTGGATTTTGACTGAATTGTGGCCTTTTTTGAACTGAGAACAAATCTATATTACCCAGGTTGACTTGTTTTTCTATCACTTAACACTGAAAATAGTTGAGCATGCTGTTCTACCGGCAGCTCTTGTTATATAGTTAATTTTGTATCTAATCAGTTTTATAAGATACAATGTAGTATGATATACAATTTACGTAATTATGGTTTTAATGAAGAATAATAACGGACATTAAGATTATTCTGAAGGTACTGAAATTCATGGCTTGTAATACATTTAATACTAATAACTTTACCACAAGCTCATTTTTTAAACCATCTGCCAACAATATGACCTTAGCTTACATTTAAACCCTGAATCCAGTCACTGAATGTTTTAAAATATTCATTCTATTTTCAGCATCATTGAATTTTTCTTTTCAACATGCTGTATTATTAGTAATACTAGATAGAGCGAAATAATTACATCTTCCCCTTGGTAGTTTGAACAATTCCTCTTGTCTGTTTATAGTAGTATAAAAATAAACATATTTTTAGATTTTGAAAACCACAAGATAAAAATGCAAGCTGTCAGCATTTTATAAAGAATTAGTTTCTTTTATAAAAAATGGAAAAAAACAAAACATGTGTGAATCTGCATGATTTTATTGAATTTGCCCTAACAGTTCATGAAATATGTAATGAATTTGAGTTAAAAATATCTTTTTGCCATTTTAAACATTTATTTATTTACAATAAAGACTTTAACTAAGTAACTTAAGGTGCAAATGGAAAATAATATCAACTCTGGGCAGAGGAATTTTCTTAAACTTTGCATAGTTAAAGGGAAATCTTAAATGAACAAAAGAATGAGGGAGTCACCATCATACTTGTGTTATCTGCCCCTGAAAGATAATTTTGAAATTTTCACATTCTTGTTCTTTTTTCGGATTTTTGTATGTCTAATTCTACTTTCATGTTTTAAGCATTTCAGATTTCTCAATTCAAACTTTAAAGCCCTAACAGAACACCATACATTTTGTTTTAAGTCATATATAATCATGAAAAAATGGGCACTAAAACAAAATATTCCGCACTTACGCACATTGTCAATCAATGTGGGTGGTCTCTTTGGCCAGTCTCTATCTTTTCATTTAATTATTTTAACAGTGAGTGCCCGTTATAAATTCAGGCAGGTATTTAAAATCACATAAATTACTATATTGGGTTTCAAATGTTAACCTAATGTATACAAGAGGGGTTGGAGTAATTGAAAATTAAATCAGGTAATGATGTGTCATATTTTTTGAAAGAAAGATATTTGTAGGATAATTATCCCTGACCATGATTTTTTCTTTGTAGTAATTGAAAAAATCCTACCAAGAAGCATGTCTTACAACTTTTAAGCAAAAGAAAGTATATATGTATACATTTTTTTTCTTCCAATACAAGAGTTATTAAAATTCGAATAAGCTGATATAGCATCTTGATTTCTGCTAGAGTTTAGGACAATACATACGGGGATATTTTAAAATTTTTGATCTTTCTTCTTTAGTTGATATCGCCTACTTTGAAATTGGGTGAAGTTAAAATATTGTATTTAGCCATTGGCTAGGTGGGCAAAAATAATGAAAGATTGTATTTTCTTAACTTTCTTAATTTAATTTCTGGAATCTAAAAAAATCTGCTCAATTTTTCACCAGTCATTCTTAATCAGTTTTAAAATGATTTGGAAGCAAAATGTATCAATAGTCTGGATACAATTGAGAGCCGACTGTAGAATATTTAGACGCACGCTGCTACATGCCTGTGATTATTGACTTCGTACAAGCAACTTCTCTGACTTAACATGCTGATCATTGTCTGTTAGAATCAATATACCATGTAAAAGAACTCAATTGTTTCCTGGAATTATTTGGATCAATATGTGTGCCTTTGGGGTCATTTTTTGCTCCTTCTTTGGCATCTCGTAAGGGTGTAAAATTGTCTGGGAGACGATATATCAGCATTTGGGGAAAAACAATTTAATCAACAAGTTTTATTTGTATGACTGTAAAATTTGTATTGGAAGAATAGTTGATGAATAGGGTATCAGTTTTGGGAAATAAAACACCACTTTATGTCAACCTTTATATTGTTAATTTAGCGAGGGGCAATTAATTGTTCATACAGAATGAAGGATGCCAAATAAGAAATTGGAAGAAAGGTCAATTATAACTGGAAAAATGTCAATTACCACTTTCAATTCTGAAATTTTATTTGAATTCATGCAACCGAGAATGCATGTATCACCTTTATATTGAAGAAAAATACAAGTATTAGGCTATGAAAAGATATCTTATTGTTTGTAAAGGGAGAAGTCATCAACCTAATAATATATTTTTGTTTGTTTTTATTACTCAATGAAATTTCATTTAAATTGTCTCGTTTAATTCAGGTCCTTCAATTTAATTTGCTTATATTATTATCTGCAGTTGGAACATCCTGGATTGTTAAATGAAAGGGTAAAAAAGTTGCGATGGTTGTTAATTGATGAAAAAGAGATAAAAAAGTAAATCACATGTGTTCAGTCATGACCTTTTGACCTTTTAACATAAAAAACTAAATGTATTGCAACAGATGCAGAGCATAAAATATTTAGATCTGAGGAGGGAAAAAAATCCACAGAAATCCATGCAGTTGGTAGATTGTTATCTGTTGGAACATCTAGTGAGCTAGATTGCTGATTATATTCCTACACAGTGGTACTACTTTTTTGTCTGAGATGTTAAAAGGTTCAAAAAATGCTTTTAAGCCAGAGTATTATCTTTGCACAATAAGGTGTTTGTTTTCATGTGTACTGATACCAACTGTCAGGAATAAGAAATAAAGTCATCTATATAGGTGGTACATTCCAGGTGTCTGTGACTGCAGCTGCAAAACCTGTAATGTCACTGTATTTTTGTTTGCATTTCAAACTTACATGTATATTATGGGCACAGCAGTAACACCAAACTTGTTCTTTAAAGCCAAGGGTTACAAGTTCAAACCCTTAACTGCTAGTGTATACATCAGTTTTAGTTACTAATTAAGTTACAGACACATTATGCCTCAGAAATAATTAATTTTAACTTCTAATTTTAACTTAAATTTTACAACTAAATGTGTAATAATTTGTCATTAAAGTAGCAAAATGACTATCTTGACTTCCATACAAAATACTAACTTCCAATTGCCAAATAGCAACAGGAGGCTCAAAAATATTATTCCCTTTCCACTGCCCAGTAGATCAGTTTTCTGTCTTTTCTGGCATGTCTGTCAAGACATGGTTTTGAAATCTGAAGGCCTGTGCAAGCTAAACTGTTACCACTTTCTTATGTCCAATATGCCACTTGAAGGATTATAAATGTCAACATACTTGATTAAAATATTCACCTAAACAAGTTCAGAACCTCAGAGTATGCCACAAATTTGATGGCTGTAGGTCCACTGGTCACCATTGACAGTAAAATGTAAATTCAACAGAAAAAAAAGTTTTGAAACAAAAGAAAAGTCTAACATAGTACAGCTGTATCATAAATTTATTATTTAATGTATTTCCAGCCAAATACTGATAAGCCTTTTTCTCTCACTCTATTTTGTATATTTTTTATAGGGTTAAAGCCTTGATTGGCACTTAGATGTAATAAGGAAGTTCTGTAGATTTTATTAGATGTTTTTAAGATATTTCCATGGCATAAAGATAACATTTCAAGTAGTCAGATGTTTTAACTCATTTGTATTTTATATATATATATCAGTGTTACAGACTCCCAACAGGAACAAAATAAACAGGGAGATTCCAAGAAGAATTATATACATGTATTTGTTTCTTTTATTTTTTGAAACTTAGCAAAATTTTATGAATTTATCAAATTTATTTATTGTATGTATCATTTTCTAGAGATAAATTAATTGATAAATTTTGCAAAATATCAGACTGAATATCTTGAATGTCATTAATATGGGTTTTCTGTTATTAAATGTTTCCAACAGTTATTGTACAGTCTTACTTGGAATATAACAAATCATATCACCTTGGAGACAGCCACATACACCAGACTAAAAAAACCACTAAATTTTGTACCCAGGAACACATATGTGTTTTATTAATAAAAGGGGACTCACATAAAATTTGGAATAAACTTGCAAGAATTGGATGACAGAATATTATAATTAAGTACCAAACATTACTCTCAAGAAAAGCACTTTTCTAATTAGATTAAATCATTACAGTATGACTTGATATTAGGGGCAAATCTGTGCACATTAAAGCCTGTTAACCTTTAGCTTGTTGCAGCAATAGATTGCAGCCATAGGGCCACACTGAGTGCAGACCAAGATACTTGCTAATGAGAGGCATGTGGGCTTGAACCCAGTTTTGAATGTGTAACTCGGGCTTGGACCCATTTTGGGTTTGTTACTTCAGGGCTTGAACCCATTTTTGGGTGTGTTACTCGGGCTTGAACTCATTTTTGGGTGTGTTACTCGGGCTTGAACCTATTTTTCAATTTTGAGTGTGTTACTCGTCTGGTGTAATGTTTCTTAGATGTAGCTAAATCATAAATGTCAACAAAGACCATAACATCTGTTCTTTATATAATGATATTAATACTTGTTTGACTTTATAATGTATGTATAAATGGATGTGACTGTAAATGAATAAACTTTAAACCAAATGTTATGATTCAGTAACTTATAACTTTTCATTTTATCATTTCAGAACTTGGCACCCTGTTGGAGCAGTCTGACAGCGCTTGCAATCAAGTATGCGAGTGAACTTTGTACATGTGTTGAAGATGTTCTCGATAGACTAGAAGATCTAAGATGGTGGCAGATCACGGAGGACACTGTCTCCATATATACGGTATTAATTTATTTCATCTCATCTCATATTGCTTTTCTGTTTGTCAAATTTAACTTGAGAAGCATTAGGAACCACTCATATTGCTGAGTATTACAGCAGCCCTGTAAATCAGAAGCGCTCAGTAAATGGTTGTTGGTTTGATCCTTGGCCAGGTTATACCAAAGGCCATATAGAGAAATGGTACATTAGCAGCTTCCTTGCCTGGCCAGTATAGCTCTGTAAGATTAGTCAGTCTCAGGATAGTTGTGATAATTATCACTGTCTGAAACAATTTACTGTTAGATGTGCATTATTGCATATTTGGATTTCTGTAGGATGAAAAAGGAAAATGCTAGTGAAAACTGGTTGACTTAGAATGCTCCTAAAGCCTTGTGTTTCAATAGGATAGAAAATGCCATTTAAATTTAGGCCACAACTGCACCAAAACACCCAGATAATTTTGTTTCATTGTACCAGTACAACGTTTATATGCCAAATACTCACAAAAATGGCAAATCATGCTTTAATTACAAATATAGTATCAAAAAGTGCACAAATGAGATCTAAAAAATTGATAAAGGTGACATCACACCTAAATCATGTTCAACATCATTTGACACAACACTGAAGTACATCAAATGGTGTAAAAATTTAAATACAATATTCTTACCACAGGTATAAACTGAAAAAAACAACTGTTAGATATTACAAAAAAGTAACAAATATTAGTCATTCTGTTTTAAAAGTTCTTGAAGTCACGTTTTACTCTAATCACCACAATTTAATGAAGGATTTTTAAAATAGAACCTGGGAGACGGGACCCCCTGAAGTCTCAATGGCTATATAATCAAGGTACAAATGGGTACTCAATAGATGATCGAAGTTTTCTTAATGAAAACCAATTACATATTTAAGAATACTAGAAAATATGTAATAATAGCGTGTTATAACCCAGCACAGTGTCTGAGAGGGGCTTAATTATTAAGATAAAATTAATCATTCTTTGTATTTTTCGAGGTGAATTAATTGTGGTGTTAGTTTATTTAAAATAAGTCACATAATTATCTTAAAAGATTTTTGAATGTTTGAGAAGTATTGATATAATTTGCTTGCTAACTGGTAAAGAATTCGTATACATTCAGTTGTTAATACTGAAGTATTGATCTAAAAGCTGTACAAATTATTAGCCTAATTCACTGTCCTGTACAAGGAGAAAAAGTTTTTTTCAAATTTTTTTAACAAAACATTGATTTTTCAATGGGAAAACAATTTGTACAAGTGTTTATATCTTGTCAATAAGTTTAAGTTAATCACTCAGGCCTATCGGCCTTCGTGATTATATTACTACGCATTTGAACTCAAACCGTGCATTATTCTACAACAAAGCACTCAGAATTGATATCTATTTCCTAAATATAGTATCAAAAAGTGCATTAATAAGATCTGAAAAATTGATAAAGGTGACATCACACCTAAATCATGTTCAACATCATTTGACACAACACTGAAGTACATCAAATGGTGTAAAAATTTAAATACAATATTCTTACCACAGGTATGAACTGAAAAAAAAAAACAACTGATATTAGTCATTCTGTTGAATATGAATCTTTTAAAAGTTCTTGAAGTCACGTTTTACTCTAATCACCACAATTTAATGAAGGATTTTTAAAATAGAACCTGGGAGACGGGACCCCCTGAAGTCTCAATGGCTATATAATCAAGGTACAAATGGGTACTCAATAGATGATCGAAGTTTTCTTAATGAAAACCAATTACATATTTAAGAATACTAGAAAATATGTAATAATAGCGTGTTATAACCCAGCACAGTGTCTGAGAGGGGCTTAATTATTAAGATAAATTAATCATCCTTTGTATTTTTCGAGGTGAATTAATTGTGGTGTTAGTTTATTTAAAATAAGTCACATAATTATCTTAAAAGATTTTTGAATGTTTGAGAAGTATTGATATAATTTGCTTGCTAACTGGTAAAGAATTCGTATACATTCAGTTGTTAATACTGAAGTATTGATCTAAAAGCTGTACAAATTATTAGCCTAATTCACTGTCCTGTACAAGGAGAAAAGTTTTTTTCAAATTTTTTAACAAAACATTGATTTTTCAATGGGAAAACAATTTGTACAAGTGTTTATATCTTGTCAATAAGTTTAAGTTAAATCGACTGCATTATTCATTGAATAAGATTATATGTATACTCTCTTGTTGCCGACATGAATCACCATTATTAAATAAACATTATACCGAAACATTATCTTGATTAATTGCTGCGCGTGGTGATAATAGATTAAAAAATTTTGGTGGTGGCTAAGATTTGTCATTCTTAAAACATACTCTGCATTTTGTGTTTGATGTCAGTGCGGCGGATTATAATTATATGTATCATCGTAAGATGACAAAATAGATAAAAATATATGCATTAAAATTACGTCATCATGACCTTTTTTCCGTTTTCCGACTCCGTTTAATTTTTTATATTTTTTTTTGGCAATAAATTACCACAGACAGGTTTTATGGATTGTAAAGTTTTTTTATTAGTAGATCTAGCTTGAATCATTCATAAAATGTGCAATTTAATTGCTATGGTTGGATATAACTGGGAGAGAATTTAGCTATATTATAATCATATAACCGTTAGGTTATAATAGATGGAATATTATGATCAATTTAAGACCATCCTACTGCATATATATCATAGCAGATGTCTTCTCCTCATGGTCAAGGTCTAAAAGCTATTTTGGTTTGTTATTTGTAAAGCTGGATTCACCATTATGATAATATTGATAAAAGCCATCCAAACCGGTGCAGTCTCGATTAAGTCGTTCCTTCTATTTTAACAGGGAAAATATCCCAAATCTCAGGGTCTATTAATACTTAAAAGGTGGACAGAAACCCTCCCATCAAATTATAGGGATGCAGCAGAAGTCCAGGGAATGTGGCTTTAGAAACTAGTGACCCACATTAAAAACTATGATGGCCATTTACAAAAGGAAGGCTTATTTTTGTCTAAATCATAAATTTTTTAGAAGGAGGCTTAATTTGCCCCACATTCTTTGAGATATCTTGTATATATTGTCATTGTAACTTTAAATATAATCCAACTTTAAAGGAAAATATTATTTCTATATGTCTAAATAATTGACAACAAATCTACCAATGTGAATGTTTACATATGATGATTATCAAATAATTGATTGTGTTGTGTTTACAATAAACATTTTTTGTTTGGTGTTTTGTGCATTGAAGCATTATTAATACATGTAGTAATTTTTATAAATGTCCACAAATAAATACCTCGCACCAACACAGTAAAGATTATGTGAAGACTTTCCAGCTTTACTGGTGGAGGTAGATCTCAGCATGCCTCTCTGCACCTTATTTCAGGCATAAATGGGCACCTCAGTAGAACCACCGACGTTCCGTAAGTTAGTTGGACTAAAGCATTCCCACATAAAAGAGCCAGAAGACACTTGCATGGCTCAAACTTACAGTGGTTTGGCTTAACTTTAATTATTTGCGACTCTGTTGAGGACTAAGCCTTTAAATAAAATCTTGATAAACTTAAAAGGATGTTAAAAACTAAAACGGAATTATATAAATGCTGCTATAAAATACTAGTAACTAAAAATGTGTCACAGTCCTTATGAAAATAACAACTGAACCAATTTTGTACTACATTCCTTTCTATCAAATAACAAAAAGTATTTTGTACCCATAGGTTATACAAATACACCATTATTGCAATGGGATATATTAAAGTGTATCAAATTCTGATCAAAGTAATTGAAACTTTATTATTGGAGGTATAAATAATACTGTGTTATAATATATTTATACCCCCACACAACAAAGTTGTAAGGGGGGTATACTGGAATCAGCTTGTCCGTCCGTCCGGCTGTCCGTCGGTTTTTTCTTGTCCGCCCAATAACTTAAGATTCCTTTGACCCTTAGTCTTCATATTTGGCATGGAGGTTAGTCATGATTAGTAGATAACCCCTATTGATTTTGAGGTCACCAGGTCAAAGGTCAAGGTCACAGGGGCCTTGACTTCAAAAAGCTTGTCCGCCCAATAACTTAAGATTCCTTTGACCCACAGTCTTCATATTTCGCATGGAGGCTAGTCATGATAAGTAGATGACCCCTATTGACTTTGAGGTCACCAGGTCAAAGGTCAAAGTCACAGGGGCCTTGACTTCAAAAAGCTTGTCCGCCCAATAACTTAAGATTCCTTTGACCCACAGTCTTCATATTTGGCATGGAGGCTAGTCATGATAAGTAGATGACCCCTATTGACTTTGAGGTCACCAGGTCAAAGGTCAAGGTCACAGGGGCCTTGACTTCAAAAAGCTTGTCCGCCCAATAACTTAAGATTCCTTTGACCCACAGTCTTCATATTTCGCATGGAGGTTAGTCATGATTAGTAGATGACCCATATTGACTTTGAGGTCACCAGGTCAAAGGTCAAGGTCACAGGGGCCTTGACTTCAAAAAGCTTGTCCGCCCTATAACTTAAGATTCCTTTGACCCACAGTCTTCATATTTGGCATGGAGGTTAGTCATGATTAGCAGATGACCCCTATTGATTTTGAGGTCACCAGGTCAAAGGTCAAGGTCACAGGGGCCTTGACTTCAAAAAGCTTGTCCGCCCAATAATTTAAGATTCCTTTGACCCACAGTCTTCATATTTGAAATGGAGGTTAGTCATGATTAGTAGATGACCCCTATTGATTTTGAGGTCACCAGGTCAAAGGTCAAGGTCACAGGGACTTTGACTTCAAAAAGCTTGTCCGCCCAATAACTTAAGATTCCTTTGACCCACAGTCTTCATATTTCGCATGGAGGTTAGTCATGATTAGTAGATGACCCATATTGACTTTGAGGTCACCAGGTCAAAGGTCAAGGTCACAGGGGCCTTGACTTCAAAAAGCTTGTCCGCCCTATAACTTAAGATTCCTTTGACCCACAGTCTTCATATTTGGCATGGAGGGTAGTCATGATTAGTAGATGACCCCTATTGATTTTGAGGTCACCAGGTCAAAGGTCAAGGTCACAGGGGCCTTGACTTCAAAAAGCTTGTCCGCCCAATAATTTAAGATTCCTTTGACCCACAGTCTTCATATTTGAAATGGAGGTTAGTCATGATTAGTAGATGACCCCTATTGATTTTGAGGTCACCAGGTCAAAGGTCAAGGTCACAGGGACTTTGACTTCAAAAAGTTTGTCTGCCTAATAACTTAAGATTCCTTTGACCCACAGTCTTCATATTTGGCATGGATGTTGATCATGACTATAAGGTGACCCCTATTGATTTTGAGGTCACTGGGTCAAAGGTCAAGGTCACAGGAACTTTGACAAAAAAAAGTTTTTCTTCTCAATTGCTAAAGAATGTCCTGTCGGCAATGTATTGATTTTGACATTTTCACATTTGAAGCATGTAGAATACATAACTTAGCAATGCACTGGCTTAGTAACCTCAGATTTGGCAGGGAGGTTGTCCTTGAGCTCTAAATGGCCACTGTTGATTCTGACAAAGTGGTATGCGGGGGTATTCACGCCATGATAGTGGCAGTTCTAGTTATATTATTGAATATTCTGTTATTTGTATTTGTTTATGATGTATATGTAAAATACTATGATTCCTTTTAAACTAATTTAAATTTCAAATTGATGTAATATTTCTCTCATTTATGCACCTGGGTGTACATTTGGGCCTCAAACCCACTCTTAGCAGTGAAGGAATATTACAATGTATTATAGTAGTGAAATGAGCCAGGGTTTTGCCTGCACTGCTGGGTCAAATTATTGGTTTTATAAATGTCAATGAAGGGGGCAAAGAGGGTAAAACCAACAAGCTATGCAGGAGAGTTTACTGTCTGAGGAGCATATAAGCTTGTTTGATAATTCACAAGTTTAAGTAAAGCTTTACCCTAGGGCTTTGGGGCAGAGGATTAGGTGGGTAGGCTGGGGTTCAGTATATACCTATACCTTATAACTGGTGTATTAATATTATTTCACAGTATTACTTTAACCAGCAACATTCACCATATTGATGCCCTGCTAACAAAATATAATATTAAAGAATAGCACTGCAGTCTCAGACAGGAGTTTACACCATTATGCATGGCTGCTGACTCATTTACAATTTTAATTCTTTTCAATAATTGGTCATATTAAAAATGGACAAATTTAAAATTTAAAACATTACAAGTCCCTTCTACAAATTTTAAGCATCGATATAGGTGTTATGTAAAGTATTAAATAGTTGAACACAGCTATTCGGAGTTGAAACATTGTTCTGTTAACCAATACCAGATTTTAAGATGGTTAATTTTATCACAATTTCGGTACAAAGAACAGCTCTACAGTAGTTGAAGACTTGACAGCAAAGGTTTGATTACTAAATAAACAGTTTTTGCGACCATGAAAAGACCGTGTAAATACAGGTCATTTGTCAACGTTCTGCTTAAACTAACATGAGTGACCTCAGTGTCATACTTGGTGTGAATTCGGAAATCTGATTGATACTTTTAAAGGCATTTTAAAAAAAAGCTGTTGTACACATGCTTGTTATTTTGATGATGATTGGGGCATTTCCGCAGGATGACCCGACCCACCCTTTCCCATGCTTTTATTTCATTCATTAAAGATTTCCTTACCTCACCTTAAGACAGCCATTCATTTAATTTAGAGGAAAAAAAATAACAAAAAAGAAGCTGTTGTTGTTTGAATAGTAAATTGATAACAGGTTCCTTTTTCGGTGCAGGCTCATATTTCAGAACAGTATCCGAGATTGATTAATGACTGATGTTGAGTTAAGGACAGTATGCTTGGGAAAATATTTTGTTATTTGTAGGTTGGGTGCATTTTAATCAGTAGCAATTTATTCAAATAAACTTTTGACAAGAACCAGTAATTCCATTAAACCAGTAATTCCTAATGGAATTACTTCTTTCTTAATGGTATTAAAAACTAGTTTTTATGAATGTAGGTGGTCTGAGAGAGTGTTCTTTTTAATTAAGGAAAGAGACAATTTTACTACAATTACAACAATTTTATATAAGATTCTTAATTGTAAGAATTTTAAGTTTACAATATAATGTAATTGTTGTTAAAAGTTTACAGATTGTATAGCAGTTATAAAATGTTCTTAATTTACTTTTAAAGTGTTTTACAATACCTACGTGTATGCAACAATTCTACATCTGTATTTTTTTCATTTCTGTCTGTCAATAAATTTTAACCTTTAACTGAACATTAAAAAAATTAATGTCATAAAATGAATGATAATTATAGTTTAACACATAAGGCTTCTGGGGAGGGGGAAGGGGGTTTGAGTTAAGTCAATGTTTATGGTCACTGATTGCAAGCGAGTTTCTTGCTGTTGGTTGGATTTTTCATCCTTGCCTTGACTTTGGATTCTTTTATACAATTAAGTAATTCAATTTATCACATGCCCCAAATAAGAAGAGTTTACAGTTTCATCTTACTGTATGACAGTATCACTAACATCTGTCGTGATTTATAATTGCTTGTATACCCATATGACGTCATGTTGCAATATATGCACGCCCATGCCATATCATATTTATGTTGCCCCAAAAATTGCACAGGTATGTGATTTAGTTACTTTGGTTACCATTTCTAATTTAGTTCTTTTTCTATTTTCAGCCTCCATCAATGACATCATCTACAATGGAGGATCCCTACTACCCTTCCCTATACTCGTGCTCCCCTAGAGGCGGACCACCACCTATACCGTCTGTGCCACCGGTAAGTATGCAGGTTGGTGTGGTAACAGGGATTTTGGCCATCATAAATAAACACACAGATTAACTGTTTAATTATAAACTATTTTTCTTAATGATGTATTAAATCAAGGCAGCCCCCTTGTGGCTGTTTGTTTGCCTTTGAAGGTTGAGGCATCAGAATTGCAGCCACCATTTATATCTGTGTGATTATCACAAGAATAGACTAAATGGGTTTGAATTACTGGAATCTTTGCATATCTTAGCTCAAGCAGGTGAAGTGGTTTGGACCATGGTGTTGCTTTTAAGTTTGTAACACCCGAGAGTAGCCAAAATCATCTTTCCTGTTTCGACGCCGTGTGACCTAAATTGCGACCTAAAGTGCACTGTAAACCAAACAAAACAAAAACTAATTCAAGGCTGGCTTCAAAAAATTAACATAGAGAAAGGTAAAATGTCAATTCACTGCTAACAATAATATTTGCTATTGTCTAGACATTATTCATTAATATGTTTTACATGGTATTCTACATACATTAAACATATTGTATATACATGTATGTCATTGTATAAAATGTACTGTATATAATATAATATTATATCATGCAATGTTGTATCATAAATTATATAAGGTTTTATATATTTATATATTTTCAGCCCGAAGGAAGTCATATTGATGGATACGGGCAGTTACAAAGTATTCATACAAGGTAAGGAAAAAAAAACATTGGTGACAGTGCACCCACTGGAGTTTGGAACAGTGTGTGATATCAGTGTCTATACCAAGTTCACAGAACAGTCTATCATGCCAGTGAAAACACCCACTTAACAGTACATACATACTATTTATCATAACCAGTAAACACATCCAGTTCTTGGTATAAAGTCTATTTGTCATACCCGAGACCAAACTTTGTTCTTGGTAGATATTTTATTATACTAGTGAACACATCCTCTTACCGGTACAGTCAATTTATCTTTCCCAGTTACCATAACAGTTAATTTATCATTCCCAGTTACCATAACAGTCAATTTATCATTCCCAGTTACCATAACAGTCAATTTATCATTCCCAGTTACCATAACAGTTAATTTATCATTCCCAGTTACCATAACAGTCAATTTATCATTCCCAGTTACCATAACAGTTAATTTATCATTCCCAGTTACCATAACAGTTAATTTATCATTCCCAGTTACCATAACAGTCAATTTATCATTCCCAGTTACCATAACAGTTAATTTATCATTCCCAGTTACCATAACAGTCAATTTATCATTCCCAAGACTGCACCTTGTTACCTGTACAGTAGATTTATCATTTCAAGTACCAAACCCTGTTACTGGTTTCAGTCAATTTACCATTTCCAGGTACAGATACAGTCAATTTATCAATACCAGTTAGATACAGTCAGTTTATTATTCCCAGTTACCTGTGAAGTAGATTTATCATTTCCAGGACCAAACCCTGTTACTGGTACAGTCAATTTACCATTGTCAGTTATCTATACAGTCAATTTATCATTACCAGGTACTTGTACAGTTGATTTATCATTTCCAGGACCAAATCCTATTACTGGCACAGTCAATTTTATCATTCCCAGGTACCTGTACAGTCAGTTTATCATCACCAGTTACCTATACAGTCAATTTATTGTTCCCACTGACCATTGTCAGTTATCTATACAGTCAATTTATCATTACCAGGTACTTGTACAGTTGATTTATCATTTCCAGGACCAAATCCTATTACTGGCACAGTCAATTTTATCATTCCCAGGTACCTGTACAGTCAGTTTATCATCACCAGTTATCTATACAGTCAATTTATTGTTCCAACTGACCATTGTCAGTTATCTATACAGTCAATTTATCATTACCAGGTACTTGTACAGTTGATTTATCATTTCAAGGGCCAAACTCTGTTACTGATACAGTCAATTGATCATTCCCAGTGACAAGATACAGTTGATTTATCATTCCCTTTACCACACCTAGTTGATGATACAAACAATCCCATTTTTTGATGACAATTTTTTCTAGGTTAAGAAAAATGTAAGAAAGGAGAATCAACAAAAATGATTTTAATGTATAACCAAACTAAATGACTTGATATATTTTAAAAACCTATAATTTACAGTGACCCAATCCCGTATTTATACCACAAAATACAATAGTTGTTTTTTTTCTTATTTCCTTTCTGTTTGAAACTGGTCGACTGGGAATCTCAGATTGACATTAGGAAAGACATAAATTTCATTCACAAGTCTTGAAACATTTTCCCACAAGGCACCCTTATTGGATTTTCTACAACTTCTATTGTTTAAAGCAATTTGTTTAGGTGTTAAATTGACTTATTGTCTTACACATTAGATAAATTGCTGGAATCCTACTGAGAGCTGTTTTTATGAGGTTGTTGTTTGAATGAAAGCTTTTGTGATTCAAAATAAGTGTTGGTCATGCAATTATACCACATTGTTTTCCCTACTTTTTTGTTCAATGGGTTAACCTTATATTGAATTAGAAACTGTCCATTGTGAAATTAAAGTAACTCCACTGAGGTATAAAAGCCCCAAAACATAAAATTTGAATTGCCTACATGGATCAGCTTGGGTGCTTAATACAGAAAGATATACAAACGATAGTTAAGAAATACAAAAAAAATCCATATTGAAAATCATATTTGTGTGCTATTTACAGCTCGATGTTTGTGAAAAACGCATTTTTCACAATAAAAATAATTATTCTGGAAAAACAAAGTGAGCTAATGATCTGTAATTTTGCACAAAATTTATTGATCTAGACCTACATTAAATAGAATATTAATCTCGAAAAAATTATTTCCAGTCATGTCATTTCAAAAACGTCAGTGGAGTCCCTTTAAGGAATTTTGGTATTGAAATACTAATAATTAGCAACAGACGGATTCTAGTGGTAGTCCACGCTTGTCTGACTGCACCAGTCCTATACAACTCATTACCCCATAATGCACTTGAGCCGTGTCATGACAAAACCAACATAGTGCGTTTGCGACCAGCATGGATCCAGACCAGCCTGCGCATCCGCGCAGTCTGATCAGGATCCATGCTGTTCACAGGCTGGTCTGGATCTATGCTGGACGCAAAACCACATTGTTGGTTTTGTCGTGACGCGGCTCACTTGTCACCTCTGTATTTCTATTCATGGGGTTTGATACAGATGACTTTTAAGGTTTACAGATCTCTTGTTAATATGTAGACATTGTTAAAGCATTTTGAAACTGCATGCAATAATTCTGTCATTTCTATTAAATGAGAGGTCATGCTGTCTATTATGGTCTACAGAGTTGCATCCTTGTATGGTTAAATTGATTCATGAATAAATGATAGGTTGTATAGATTGAGTCATATTTTTGAGTGCTTAGTCTACTGGCTGCTGCACACATTTTATGAGTTTTACTAACAATGGTGCCAGTCTGATCAATGTAAATATTCTAATCTTGTCACTTAGTTTCTGCTTAGTTGAAAACCAGTCTGCTGAAAACAGCAGCTTGTATTTTAAAGTACAGAATGGATAAAAAATGGATAAAAATGTCAATACTGAAGATTTAGAATGCCGAAATTCTAATACTTTCTTAAATCCATACATCTATCTGCAACATGGTCATGTCATATTGTGAAAATATAATTTGAGCTTCTTTTTTTTTAAGTCAATAGTCTGGTACCTTTTACCCTTAAGCTATAGTGGACCCACAAGAGATCTAAGCCTTTGCCACCAGTATAAAATTCTGGAAAAGGCCTGATCTCATGTAAACATTGAAATAAAAGTAGAATATAAAGCCAGTATAAATTTGAGCAAGGCCAGCCTGCTGACCTGGCTATTCTGATACTAGAAGGGTCAATCCATTATTATAAATACAAATTTAGTTAGAAGGTAACATAGACCATAGACTGGTAACATTAAATCACAGATCCAGCTGATATGGTTGTGGTGTACCAGTCTGCTAGGGTTCAACAACATGATGTAGGTGTTGCTTTATGTGTTTTCTTCTGATAATACTGCCACAACAAGTGTATTTATTCTTGATAAATAATTATGCGGATGGGAAATATGTCTGATCATGGGTGATAACAGGCTCTATTGTGGATATAATTGTGATTTACTTATCTTCAGAAGCTTGTTTTTCTGTAACTGATATTTCGCAGGTCTGCATGCAAACAAAAAATACCTATATAATGAAACATGCAATAAAAAAAACACATGATAGCATTTAGAATGGAATTTTTCTTGTCGGTTGTTTAGGGGGTAGCTAGTACAGATATTTTGTAATCGACAATTCAGATGGGTTTATAGTTTTGTGTTATTGCGTAACACGTTTCCATTCTGTTTACGTGGATCTGTTTAACACATATACAAGCACAATTTGTGTGCATTTTTGAAATGCATTAGGTGTTATTATAAGTAATACACTCAGACTAAAGGTGCCATGTAATCTTGGCTGCTTGAGTGACTTGTACCACTGACCTAAAAGTTCTAATATTGACTGGAATACTAGTCTCCCCTACCTTGCCAGCTGGGATCATTATTTCCAGATAGGATGGAAACACCCTCGAGCCAGTCTACAAATTACAAATTAGTGATTCAATTTTCTAACAATGAAGCTTTATAATACTTAGTATTAATATGATTACCTTAACCAGCTAGATTCTCTAAATATCTTAAATGGACTTGTCCAATTCTTTCAATATGGACAAAACCATTCATCTGTATTAGAGGAAATTCAAAATATGCACGGACTGAAAAGCGAACACTGCAGATCAATGTATATTTCAGGCTTGGATATGCCGGCTGTTCTCGGTCCATTGCATGTTGATGCCAGCAGGCTGTTGGTTAATATCTTTTTGTCCATGCTTTAAGGCAAAGCTGGAAAAAATTTGTTGAACATAAGAAAAGCCCCTGAATTATACAGATATCAACATTTCCTACATATGGTCTACCTTTTTACAGGAAGATATAAGACCATCAGCCTCCAGTGTGACATTTAATGGACAGCAGCATAGATTGGTGTTAGTTTAGCTAGACAGGCCAAATTAATCAAATATATTCCCTACTTGTCTAATTATCTACTGGCAGGGACTGCTTGCTAATTTGATAACTTGATCAAATTTTGGTCAGTAATTACCTAGTAATTGATCACAGTGAAGGAACTGTAAATGTTTTGGCAGAAGAAAATGTGTGATTGCCTTATTGGCGCCATTTTGTTCTGTGTTTCCAGTCATTGCAGTCAAAAGGTGTTGACCATGGTTGAGTGACAGTGATTTAATTACAAGTATTTTTTTTGGCAATGTCCTTAAATTTCCAATTTAGTAAGAAACCTTTTTTGCCAACATCTAGAATTAACAATTTAGGTTGTAATATAATTGTTATTGTTTTCTATTTTTAGCTCACCTGTCACAAAGTGACAGGGTGAGCTTTTGTGATCGCTTTTCGTCCGGCGTCCGTCCGTCGTCCGTCCGTCGTCCGTCCGTCCGTAAACTTTTGCTTTAAATGACATCTCCTCATAAACCACTGAGCCAATTTCATCCAAACTTCACAGGAATGTTCCTTTGGTGGTCACCTTTAAAAATTGTTCAAAGAATTTAATTCCATGCAGAACTCTGGTTGCCATGGCAACCGAAAGAAAAATCTTTAAATATCTTCTTTTAAACAACCCTAAGAGCTAGAGCTTAGATATTTGGCATGAAACATCTTCTAATGAGTGTCTACCAAGTTTGTTCAAATAAAAGCCCTGGGGTCAAAATTGGCCCCGCCCCGGGGGGTCATTGATTTTCCCTATATGCATATAGTAAAAACTTAAAGAATTTTCTTTTAAAGAACCGTAAGAGCTAGAGCTAAGATATTTGGCATGGAACATCTTCTAGTGAGTGTCTACCAAGTTTGTTCAAATAAAAGCCCTGGGGTCAAAATTGGCCCCGCCCCAGGGGGTCATTGATTTTCCCTATATTCATATAGTAAAAACTTAAAAAATCTTCTTTTAATGAACTTTAAGAGCTAGAGCTTAGATATTTGGTATGAAACATCTTCTAGTGAATGTCTACCAAGTTTGTTCAAATAAAAGCCCAGGGGTCAAAATTGGCCCCGCCCCAGGGGGTCATTGATTTTCCCTATATGCATATAGTAAAAACTTAAAAAATCTTCTTTTAAAGAACCCAAAGAGCTAGAGCTAAGATATTTGGCATAAAACATCTTCTATTGAATGTCTACCAAGTTTGTTCAAATAAAAGCCCTGGGGTCAAAATTGGCCCCGCCCTGGGGGGTCATTGATTTTCCGTATATGCATATAGTAAAAACTTTAAAAATCTTCTTTTAAAGAACCCAAAGAGCTAGAGCTAAGATATTTAGCATGAGACATGTTCTAATGGGTGTCTACCAAGTATGTTCAAATAAAAGCCCTGGGGTCAAAACTGGCCCCGCCCCGGGGGTCATTGATTTTCCTTATATGTGTATAGCAAAATCTTAAAAATCTTCTTTTAAAAAACCCAAATAGCTAGAGTTTAGATATTAAGCATGAAACATCTTTAAGTAAATATCTACAACGTTTGTTCAAATAAAAGCCCAGGGGTCAAAACTGGCCCTGCCCGAGGGGTGTCATTGTTTTTAACTATATGTGTATAGTAAAAACTTAAAAAATCTTCTTTTAAAAAACCTAATGAGCTAGAACTTAGATGTTTTGCATGAAACATCTTCTTATGGGTGTCTACCAAGTCTGTTCAAATAAACAAATAAAAGCCCTTGGGTAAAAATTTGGCCGGGGGGGGGGGGGCTATATACAGGTGAGCGACCTCAGGGCCATCATGGCCCTCTTGTTGTTTTTGAAAATGGAGGAGCCAAGTCTTGTATTTTTTTTCAAATTGGCTTAATGAAATGGCATAATGTATACAAGAAAATGGGTAATATGGTCAAATCACGACTTAATTGACCTTCAGACCAGTAGTTTCTACTTTGTTGACATTAATTTATAAATATGGTTAACTAAAAATTTTGCATTTGACAAGATAAAACAGATGAATTTTGTTATAAAAAAATGTTCCTAATTTAATCAAGTTTCGAATATTTTAATATCGTTTTTTGGTCACAAATTATATCTACCACAAGCTTTTAAGTGACCTTTGTTGATAAGAATTTTTTTTTTCTGGAAGAAAAAAAGAAGAAAATAACTTCCCATGAATTTCTGGATACATATTCTCAGAGAATTTGGAATTCAACTTTTCTATTTATGAATGAGCAGTTCTAAAGCCTGTTTCTAAGACCTGTCAGGGATGCTAAAATGGCTGGCAAGGAATGAAAATTAATAGGCCAAACAACCTCCTGATATTTATCATCTGTCTACTGTTGCTACTAAGGTGTTGTTTTTCAGATAGAAGGAAATTTTAGTCAGTCTATTAGAAATAAGAACCAGTTTTAAATTAGTTGTAACTAAGGAAGAATGATGTCTGCCAAATAATATGTATTTGTTGGTATTTATAATAGTCTAATAGTCTAATAATGATATAACTGTCTTTTATCAAATTTACATTTATTATAAAGCTATATTTCTTATTGCTAAATGTATTTTGTTTGAATATGACATCAGAGAATTTTTTGTTGCAGTTTCTTAACTATTTTAATGGAGGTTGTATTTGTTTGGCACTTCTTATTCTGTTGAGAGAAGATCCATGTTTCATGATGAAAACATTACAAATATTTACACTCCAAAATATGTTTAGAGTATCACATGTGTGGGTCATATGTTTGTGATAGATTTGTTTGATTTATATTTCAAACAAATCTCCATCATTTGTATTCTTTAATGTGTTCCTGAACATTATTACATGATTGTATTTATTGTGCTTATACTGAACCTAAGTGTAGGAAACAATTAAAAGTGTGTTCTACTGAGAAAATTTGCTGCATTTTTTCAGAAAATTAAAGAACATTTATATAGAACAGTTCAATAGTACTTTAAATCCATTATCCTTAATTAAGGGTTAAGGAAAAGACAAGCGAAAAGTCAAGTTAATCGAGCTAATTATGATTTTATAATGCCCGCTTGATTGGATTTTGAGATGGAATGTTATGAAGAATTTTGTTTACTTGCTAGAACCAAAAGGGATAAGTCTTTAATTGACATCAGTATTAGTCTACCCACTTAGTTCAATAGGGAAACCATTGTATTAGTACTCCAGGGGTTGCACAGGTTTGATCCTTTAATTGGAAAGATGAAATTTCTCTGTAACCATTGACCTCAGACATTGAATCAGAAATCATGTGTGATTATTAAGTTGGTCACTTGAGAAGAAATTGGTAGTTACTGGTTAGTTATTCAGAAAAAGCTGGTTCGTTGGATCAACCTCTGAGATATGAGCAAACAATGTGTTAAAATCAGTGTCAAAACCAGGAGTACAAACATGAATTAACCAGCAGCATAGATTACGGTACCGGGTGACAGGCAAGCCTACAATTCTTAGCAGTCTCTATTCTGACTAAAACTTCAAATTTTCATCTTGATATCCCAAAAATTGATAATGGACATTGCCAAAAATAGAAGCTGGACAAATCATTCATACATATTCAGCAGTTTAAGGATTTAAGACCTGCAAAATGACTTGATATTATGTTATAATGTTGTTCTTTTATGCTTTACAATATGCAAGTGCCTTTGAATAATTGTTGCTGTAACAAGAAGGTTATGATTTTATCTCAGTTACCTCAAACAATAATTATGCAATTGCATGCAAGAAACCTATTAATTTCTTGTATAGGACCATTTATTTTGTTTAGAATGCAAGACTGTCAATTACATTTGAAGCTGCTGGGTCTATTTTGCGGATCAATGTAAAATTCATGGTTTTGTCTGCAATGTTGATTTTCCAATTTGATATTCTCCATCAGTGCAGCAAGATTGACTGTTTTATTTGCAACAAGATTGCAGTAAACATTGTATTGTAATTATAAGGAAACACAGCAATCATTAACTTGCATCAAACCTTGAATTATTTTACCAGTGTTTCGATTATTTTAGTAAGATTTTGACCAATGTTTCTCTTAAAGCTTATAGAACCTAATATAATTTTTACTGATTGAGCTGCCAATTTTAGAGCCTAATTTAGTTTATACAAATTTATTTTAGTTTGATTGTGTTGGAAGCTATAAGCTTATTGAAATACTCTAGAATCAGTTCCTGGAACCAACCTGAGTACTAAGCAAATTACAATAATTAATTAAACTTTAAAAAAGGATTATGAAAAATTAAATTGGTTAAATTTTGTTGATGGTGAAAAATTAAAACGATCTTGAATTTTGAAATTTTGCTGAATTGGCCATGAAATTTGTATTAATTCCTGAGGTATCTATGATTATTGATATTGTATAGGAAATTTAATCTTTCGAGACTGTAATAAAAAACTTTATTCTTAAATTACAACCTTAATGCTTCGAGAAAATGACTATTCATTTACATTTATGTTTGTGAGTTTATATTTATTTCATTATACTTTCATTGATAATTAAATGATTATTAATACAAATTACAGTAACAATTTATCAATTATGAAGTTAACACTTATCTAAATATAATTCATTTAAATTGAATCGTTAGATATACAATGCAAAATAATGTTGTCATTATATAAAATAAAAGACGGTAATTTTATATTTTCAGATACGCAGACAGTCCAAGCCATGCAAACTATGTTGCCTTGGATACAGGTAAGCTATTCTAGCAGAAATTGATTTTTGTTTAATTATTCTACCCTATATTATGTTTTAAACAGATTTTTTCTATTTCTCAAAGTTGTGAAATTGATTATTTATTCTTTCTTTGCACAATGCATGTGAAAATCTTACTCTCAGAATACAGAATATGTAGGACGACCTTTGAACTTGCAGCATACCTGAAGTCCATGTATTATTGCAATTAAAACTTTATACATGATTTGCCTCTTTGCAGTGATTGTCTTTGCATAAAATTAAGTCCCAATAAAGGAATTTTCTTCATTGACAAAACTGTTGAAAATTACCATTTAAATTTGAAAATAGTTTAAAATCCATATGAAATACATGGGTAATGTTGCAAAAGAAGCATAAATTCTCTGCTATGCAGCATTTGTATTGTTTATTTTTTGGTGCTTCAAGTTTGAATCCAGCTAATGCAGTTAAATTATAACATGTCGAAGGCGGAAGCTACTGGCTTGCAGAAAGTCTAATTTATAATACACAGATCATCATCATGCTTTAGCTTTAATGGGCCTGAATGCCACTTTATGTTCTTCCTCTACCTGGCTATAATAAAGCTTGAAGTCAATGTTAAGAGTAAGCTTAAGTCTGAACTATGTTCACCTCAATGTTTGCACAGATTAAAATAAAGTAGCATAAAACCATGTTCTATATTCTTTGAGTTTGACATTTAAGTACAAACATTTCTTTGCCACATGCATATTCTACAAATATGCATGCAGTATATACATGTATTGGCCGTAATCAAGCACCATCTTAAAATGTGAAGAAAAAAAGAACGAACACTGAAATGAATAAAAGCAAAGGAGAAAATCACTAGCTGGTCAAATCATTTAATGAACATTTTAGTATTTGTTGCAAATGCCACATTTCCTCTTTTATATACTGCATATTTGTTTTGTTTCTTGTCTTTTGTTTGACTCTGATTGTTTACTTTAAATATTGTGTTTGATATTTAGGCATGTGCTGTGTATTTCCAAGGAAAATTGTCAAAGGTAAATGCTGTTTCAACAGTTCAAAGTTTTATGTTTGATTGCTTAACGCTTTGCTTCACAAGCCTTAACTGTTAAATTGTTTATTGCTTCACCAGCCTAATCTGGTGAATTGTTCGTTACTTAATTCACTAGCCTAATAATGATTGTTTGTTTATGGAAATGGGCATTATTGATATTTATAAATATTTGTTATTTGTTTGCAGTTTATCAGACTTTTCAGAGATCAAAGTCAAGTATTTTAAATATTTTCATTAAAATCATTGAATATATTTTGTTGATAGATTTTTCTATGCAAAACTACTTTTTGATTGTAAATGGACAGGTCTTAGATAGTCCACAAATTGAATTTCTCCGTTTAAATAAGTTCATTAATGTTATTGAACTTTCTTCCTTTAGTTACTTGGGATATGCTATGCTTGGAAGCTTGCTTTCAGTTTTGCGCTAAATCAGTGAATTACCTCCCTTTATTAAGCTTAAAACAACTAAATCATAGGGTTGCCTTGTCCATTCCTCCTTCCTTTGCAGTATACTTAGGCAAACCAGCAAACCAATGTTTCCCAATGTATTGTCTGTGTTTTAAAACCAATATATGCTTTTTATGGTAATTCATTGTGTTGGTAAAAGATGAACTAATGCATGTTTCCAGCAATCTGTCTTTCTATTAAGTTTATGAAATTTTTCAATTTAGATCAATTCCATGGTATTTTTGAAGAAAAGTCTTATACTTTCTTTTGCTTACAAATGTTGCCTTATTTTAGTTTTCCTTTTCTAGGGTATTTTAAAATCTTCAGTAGTATTAAGAATGCATGCAATCTTGTTGCCTCCCTTTATTTTAATTTTTTATTTTGCATAAGAAAAGTGTAATATTCATGAATATTTTTTTTTTGCAGTTACTAATAAGAACATCACAGGTGTTCTTTCCGGATACTTACTATAGGAAATCTCATATGGGAATTATTACAATATTACACAAAAAGTGACCTTTGTTTGAACACTCAGTATTTGTTTATAGCACACCTTCATTAATTGTTTGTAATATTCATAACATGTCTTTATTATATAAACACCTATCAGAAGAAATTCTATTGATCATAATATAACAGGGAATTTATGAACAGGACACTATTCTCATTTTGGAAGGATATATTATATTAATTTATAATTATCTAAAACCTAAGGTCTGATTAAATATAATATTCAATAAGAATATTAAAAAAATTGGTACTGGTAACTGGTGGTAAGTTGTTCTTTATTACATTGTAGCATTGTAGAAACTTTTAATTGTAAAGAAAATATGCAGGTAAAATTATTTTAATTGTAATTTTCTATTGTAAAGTAATCATTCAGATAAGGAAAAAACATTTAATATCAAGTCATTAAAATATTTATAGATTTATAATGAATTTCCAAGAGATCCAATAGTGTTTTAACAGTTATATATACTGGTATACTGCATAAAATGTTGACAAGAATATATTATAAAGAATCAACAAAATTTGATTTAAACTAATTAAGAGGAGCATTAATTTGTATTTTTACCCTTAATTGAAGTACATTACAGCTAGGTCAAATTTAATATTTTGCGTCTCTTTTATTCCCAATGTTTTACTCCTCTGATATTCAGAAACATACTCTGATATTTAGAAATGGTTCCAGTTTAGAACCGCAGCATGTACAATTTTGTATATCTGTGCTGTATATCTGATACAAGAATAATGTAATTTAGATGCCCTATATAATATTTTTCTCTGCGTAGCACGAGATTGATTATATGTCCGACTATACAGGCTTCATAAATGATCAAACAAGAAATGACAGTGCGAAAGGAAATGGATAAACTTAAAGTGCTATGTTTAGAAGAAATTTACCCGCTGAATATGATCTATCATAGAGTCTCGAACTGTCAATAAACGATCACGCCAGCCTCTGGTGGATGACATTAACGTCAGCTCTACTCGTTATCGCCGTATATGGCTTGAAAAATCTTGACATGCGATGTAGAAATGTTTTTATCAGACATTTGCTATTTTATATATTCATGCTGCTAAAGAAATTGTTAATTTAGGTTTATGGGGAATATTATGTTGAAAGGTTTATATGTAATTGCCTTTTATCAGTGTAACTGTGTTGACAACAAGTTGATTTTCGAGTTGACAATTCTGAGAATTATATCATATTTTTATTGCATGATGAAACAATATATAATTTATTTATCAGAACTTTTTAGAATTTGCATACTCGAAGATCTTAAAGAGCATAATGTTGATATAGGGGGCTAAATTTAACCTGTGTATAAACTTAACCCTGTACATGCTTAATATTTTAAATGGACTTGCCCAGTTTTAAATCTAGAAGAAACATTCATCTTTTTTAGCGGGGGAAAAAATGAACTGACTGAATCAGACGGCACTCTTATGTACCTACTTAAGCTGATCATGGTTTTCACTTTATTTGGGTGAATTTTAAAGTTTTCAAATGCATAAAATATCCTTCTTTTAGGAAGAAAATATTTGTCTGTTTGAGATCATTTGCTTTAAAAAAAAAAGAAATATGCGATTGTGAAAAATGTTTGTTGACAGTTATGTCCCTTATTATACCCCCAAAAACGAAGTTTGGGGGGGTATATAGGAGTCACCCGGTGGTCGGTTGGTCGGTCGGGGCGGTCGGTCGTGTCGGTCGGTCGGTCCAGACGTCCGTTGCATTTTCCTTGTCCGGACCATAACTTGAAGACTAATGGTTGGAATTCAATATAACTACATACAATGGTCAAGCACATTGAGAGGAAGTGCAGTGCACAAGAACCATAACTTTATCTTGACTAATTACAGAGTTATTGCCCTTTGTTACTTTTCCTTGTCCGGGCATAACTTGAAAACTACTGGTTGGAATTCAAAAAAACTTCATACAATTGTCAAACACAATAAGAGGGAAGTGCAGTGCACAAGAACCATAACTCTATCTAAAGTAATTACAGAGTTATAGCCCTTTGTTACTTTTCCATTGCTTTCTTTTGTCCGGACCATAACTTGAAGACTAATGGTTGGAATTCAATATAACTACATACAATGGTCAAGCACATTGAGAGGAAGTGCAGTGCACAAGAACCATAACTCTATCTTGACTAATTACAGAGTTATTGCTCTTTGTTACTTTTCCTTGTCCAGGGCATAACTTGAACACTACTGGTTGGAATTCAAAACAACTTCATACAATTGTCAAACACAATAAGGGGAAGTGCAGTGCACAAGAACCATAACTCTATCTAAAGTAATTACAGAGTTATTGCCCTTTGTTACTTTTCCATTGCTTTCTTTTGTCCGGAGTATAACTTGAAGACTAATTGTTGGAATTCATTATAACTTCATACAATGGTCAAGCACATTGAGAGGAAGTGCAGTGCACAAGAACCATAACTCCATCTTGACTAATTACAGAGTTACTGCCCTTTGTTACTTTTCCATTGCTTTTTTTTTGTCCGGAGCATAACTTGAAGACTAATGGTTGGAATTCAATATAACTTCTTACAATGGTCAAGCACATTGAGAGGAAGTGCAGTGCTCAAGAACCATAACTCCATCTTGACAAATTACAGAGTTATTGCCCTTTGTTACTTTTCCTTGTCCAGAGCATAACTTGAAAACTACTGTTTGGAATTCAATACACTTTCATACAGTTGTCAAGGACATTAAAAGGAAGTGCAGTGCATAAGAGCCATAACTCCATTTTGACAAAATACAGAGTTACTGCCCTTTGATACTTTCCCTTGTCTGGAGCATAACTTAAAATGTACTGGTTGAAATTCAAAACAACTTCATACAATGGTCAAGCACAAAAAGAGGGAGGAAGTGCAGTGCACATTGTTTTTGAACTATAACTCCATCTTCAGTATTTATAGAGTTATTGCCCTTTGTTCCTTTTCTTTGTATTTCTGGACTTATTACAGAGTAATTCAATAAAACTTCTTCAATGGTCAACCACATTGAAAGGAAATGCAATATACAAGAACCACAACTATCTTTAATTGCCCACAACCATAACTCTATATTTCAATTCTTTTACAAGGTATTCTGTTACTAGTAACATCCTCATTTCCGAAGCAGTCTTGTGGGGGTATTAATCACATTTAGTGATAGTTCTAGTTAGTGTTTTATTTTCATGTATAGGCAGCAATTCAGAGTTTTAAATTTTTAATTGTTTCATTTTTATTTGTTTTGCTATGTCTTATTTGTAACAACACCTTGCTTGTTTAAGTGAGACCTATTTAAATAAGATAACCAAGGTTTGGTATAACAAAAATAAATATTCGTTTAGAAATTATCCCCCTTTATATGATTGGCCAAAAATTTTGGAAATATCTTGAACTAATCATTATTTCCCATCATTCTTTATCTTTTTTGATAACGTAACCAGTGTACCTGGTGTTATAAAGTACTGTTTTTGGGAAAATTAGTATATCTAACTGAAAATTGATTTTACTCTACAGGGCACTGCCTGTAAAACTAATCAGTTGTCAAATTGAAAAACTGTTCTGGTATCTCATAATAGATGTTGTTGGCAAATTGAACAATTATTCCTGGAAATTACTAGTGTAAGTCTGTGATACAAAAACGAATAACTCGTATGACGATGAATATTTGATGAGAGCTGTATATACCGGTAATCAGCCTGTCTTCTGCCATGGAGGGGGCACTAATTTTTTTTAAGATATTTATATTAACTTTTTGTTCTGTAGAGGCATTGTGGACTTACTAGATGGAATTAAAACTATTTTTGGTTTTCCTAGCTAATCTGGGGTCTAACAATTTTTCATAGTTACAAATTCACAAATATTTGAGGGCAACATAATTGCCTTATAAGTATTGTGAACAATAGTGCACTTTGAGTGAAGCTGTAATGTGTACCTTTAGGGTTTACCTTGGAAAACACACATTTCCCTAACTTCCGGTCAACTCACATAGTTTATTTTCTTATTTTTATAAGTCATTTGGTTTTTAAATAAAAAGACACAGTAGTTTATTGCTTGTTAAGAATGATTAAAACTTCAACTTAGTATACCACTTAATATTAAAGTCCCTACTGTAAATGTTTATATAAAAAAATAAGAATCAATAATTTAATATTATATTATAGAGTGGGTGGACCAACGCTCGGCGTAAAAATACTATATTTGATATGGCAAATTCAAATCAACGTCAACAAACCTCAATGTTATATGTCCATTTTCAAGACCGATGATATTGTTTTAAATAGCCATTGTGTAAAATTCGCTAATCACATAATGATGTGCATGGCTGGAGCTATAGATAGTCCGGATAAACAAGAGTGGTTTGCGTGAAATTGTACCATAGCTCGGTGTACAATACTTCATGATGCAGGATTGTTTTTCAAATAAAATCTCTTTTTTATCTTATGAAGAAAACATATTGAATAAATTGTAACAACCAAATTAGGTTCATACATTTACAAGTACCCAACTTTTAGTATAAATTTTACAGCCCCAGAACTCAAGTGTTAAAAGATTTTAATAATTTATATGTTGGGGATTACATACGGTTGTTCGTCTGCTATTAGTATTGTCACGATACTTTACCAGCAGTGAACCATTTCAGGATAAAATGGTGAAAGATGTAAATAAAAGCACCAGTGACCTAAATTGGAGATAACTCGAGACATTTTCAGATATTCTAAAAAAATATTTTTTTACGCCGAGCATTGGTATGCGCCTAGCATTGGTATGCGCCGAGCATTGGTCCAACCACTCTATAATAAAGTAAAATTATATTGTCTATAGTTACATAAATTATGATGTATAAAATTCATTATATTTTTATTAATCTTTCAAAGGCAATACACCTTCATGCAGTATTAGGTTAACTCCTATTATGATTTAATAGGAATTAACCAGTTATTGCACTTAGGTGTTGATATGTTAATTAGTTTATTGTTGCCAATGTAGGCAAAATGTATTCCAATGATATCTGACATGAGTATGTAATTATTCTATGCGACAATCTGGGCATTTAGTTAAATATCTTCTGACATCAATGGCGTTTATGTTTTCATTCTATATAAGCTATATAGAGTCTTTATACTTGGACTTAATAATGGTAAACTCCTTCATGACCTTGACCCGTAATATTTAATTTTTTAAATTCTGGAGGTTCTCCATAACTGTTGTATATTAAAGCATTTCTAACATTTTTAGCTCGACTATTCGATAAGAATAAGTAGAGCTATTGTAGTCACCCGAGCGTCGGCGTAACCACTTATGTTAAAGTTTTTGTAATACCTCAAATATTTTCAAAGTCCATTGACATATGGCTTTGAAACTTGGCACACTTGTTCACCATCATGACCCCAACCTGTAGACAGGAGGAGATAACTGTATCAAGCATTTTGACAGAATTGTGCCCCTTTTTCGACTTAGAATTTACTTTAAAGTTTTTGTAATACCTCAAATATTTTCAAAGTCCATTGACATTTGGCTTTGAAACTTGGCACACTTGTTCACCATCATGACCCCAACCTGTAGACAGGAGGAGATAACTGTATCAAGTATTTTAACAGAATTATGCCCCCTTTTCGACTTAGAATTTACTTTAAAGTTTTTGTAATACCTTAAATATTTTCTAAGTCCATTGACATATGGCTTTGAAACTTTGCACACTTGTTCACCATCATTACCCCAACCTTTAAACAGGAGGAGATAACCGTATCAATCATTTTGAAAGAATTATGCCCCTTTTGTGACTTAGAATTTACGTTAAAGGTTTTGTAATACCTCAAATATTTTCAAAGTCCATTGACATATGGCTTTGATACATTGCACACTTGTTCACCATCATTACCCCAACCTGTAAACAGGAGGAGGTAACTGTATCAAGCATTTTTTTTTACTATCAAGCACTAAGAATAGTCGAGCATTGCTGTCCTACCGACAGCTCTTGTTATGTTTTTCAATCATGTTGTTTTGAAATGAATTTAAATTTCAGTAAATTAATTACGTATAAAAATAAATTGACCATAAATGACATTTAATGATACCTTTTTCTTCCCTATCTTTTCTAATAATCAATTTAAGAAATTTGTAGATATCGGGAACATGTTACAATTAGCATTAGTAGACAAGTGAAAAATAGATGGGTCTCTCTGTTCACGCTTAATGTAAATGCAATGGTATTTTAGGTAGAATTCTTCTTATGTTATGACTGCAAGTTGCAATGTTTATTTATATTGCAGGTGAATCTGAACCTATTACAGAGAAGAAGAAAACCTCGACTTTAGGGAGACTGTTCAGAAACATGGGCTTTCGTAGATCAAGTAGAAAACACAGCTACAAGAAACACCAAGGTAATAAAAGCATGCTCACTCTACACTTCCCTATGTAGAGATGTAACTTCCTGTCATTGTTTCCTCTTTCAGGTATTACATTATAAAAACAACATGTTGTAGAATCAAGCATTTATTTGACCAAAAGCATCAGACGGATCAAGCATTTATATAACCATAAGGATCAAGCATTTATATAACCAGAATGATCAAGCATTTATATGACCAAATGGATCAAGCATTTATATGACCAAAAGGATCAAGCATTTATATGACCAGACGGATCAAGCATTTATATAACCATAAGGATCGAGCATTTATATAACCAGAATGATCAAGCATTTATATGACCAAAAGGATCAAGTATTTATATGACCAAAAGTATCAAGCATTTATATAACCAAAATGATCAAACATTTATATGACCAAAAGGATCCAGCATTTATATAACCAGACAGATCAAGCATTTATATCACCAGAAGGAGCAAGTATTTATTTGACCAGAAGGTTCAAGCATTGATATAACCAGAAGGAGCAAGTATTTATATAACCAGAAGGAGCAGCATTTATATGACCAGAAGGAGCAAGTATTTATATGACCAGAAGGTTCAAGCATTTATATGACCAGAAGGAGCAAGTATTTATATAACCTGAAGGATCAAACATTTATATGACCAGAAGGGTCAAACATTTATATGACTGTAAAGATAAAGCATTTATATGACCAGAAGTATCAAGCATTTATATAACAGGGATGAAAAAAACCTTATAAGGTTTGCAAACACCTTTCTCGGTAACAACAGCTGGACTTTTCTTAACTTGTCTTCACCCAGACCAGCTGAGAGGAGTATCAGGACTAAAATAGATTGTTTGATTGATGTCTTTTATGAACCAAAATCTTTCATACCCCATAACAGATGATGATATGTACAGGGTACATTATTCAAAATTAAGAACAGTGTAATCAACAATCTTGAATTTCATTTCAAATTAAAAAAAACCAACAAAAATATTAACAAAACAACCCTCTTTCATATTACATTATGAAAAGCACAGTCTTATAATTTTTTTCATATTCCACATAAATTTGATTCATTAATCTGAAATATAGCACACTGGTGTCTTTTCTCCTCTGGAAAAACAATAATCTTAAAATGCATTTTACAGCCATAAAGACACATTATGATTCATGAAGGCCTGGCAGGTTATCTCAATTATAGTTTATTATTGGTTTTAGAATTGTCTGCCACACATTATTTTCATTACAAAGTTTATTTTACTGTTTTCACTCATTCACTCCTACATATTTTTAAGGACTGCCAACATTTTTGCAGCAAAAGCTAGCTGCGTGTTGTCAGGATGTCAGTTGAATCTTGTTTGTGATGTGTAGCACCTGTTGATATGTTTATAACTGTTGTGTCTAAGTTTATATACTTTCCAGTGCTTTTTAACAGCTGGGAGCAATTAACAAGGCATTATTACATAAACACTTTGTACTGCTCAAAAATATGTTTGAAATTCATTTTTTTGTCCACAAAGAAAAGACGTATTTTTAGCTTTTTCTGGATTCTGTTGTGAAAACCTTAGTTTCAAGATCTTTTTGCATACCAGTTCTATAATGAAAGCAACACAACGTAAAGCTGTAAAACCAGTATATCTTGAGATGTGTTACTCACATGTGTGTCTGCACATTTTCACTGTATTATAGTTTACATTGTCTCAAATGTTGTGAAGTAAGTGTCAGATAAATCACCCTAGCAACAAAGGATAATATTAAATTTGGGGCAAGAAAAAGGAGTGATTCCTTGGAAGAAATGAAAACAACAATATGAAAATTACAAACTTGTTTTGATTTTAATGAGAGATAAAGAAAGAGGGCAGCATCTAGCATTCCCCACCCCCAGCACAGGGTTCAGTGATATTCAATCTTCAATACTAACATGCTGGAATCTTTGATACCTAAGGTCCAGAAAAATATAACAACACTGAAATGAAGTACAGGGCAAATTTTTACAGAAGCCACATGGAACTTAATCACTACCTACTGTTGTGAAGTACATGTATAGCGAATCCGGAAAAGGGAGGTTACCTTATTAATTCACACAAACACTATTAAAATGATAATGGTGACTCAAGAAGCCAATCAACAGAAGCTGTTGTTGTAATATGTGTAGATTGAGACTGAAAAGATACAGTGAATATCATATATTTGGAGTTTGGGATAATTAGTATTTTGACATTCTGTTAAGCCCATTGCTAAACACTGTTCTTGCTTTTATTGCAGTCTTTTGTTGATCATGATACACCCTAGAACAATTTTCATTCTGAACATAATTATGTTTTTTGCATACAAAACTTATGGTTTGTTGTTAACAACAAAGCTATTTTACTACTTCCATTGAAATGATTCTAATATTATTTATATTGTGATATTATTTTTCTGTTAGTTACTACATTCATTTATAGATCTGATACTATAAATAGGTAACATTATTGTTCTGTTACTATTTATAGTTGATATAATTGTACTGTTACTATTTATAGGTGACATTATTGTTTGTTACTATTTATAGGTGACATTATTGTTCTGTTACTATTTATAGGTGACATTATTGTTCTGTTACTATTTATAGGTGATCTTTTGGCACATGAGATCACAATGGGTGACAATGACAGGATAGCCCTCATGCAGATGGTGAAGGAAGGAAAAATATCCACAGAAACTGCTTTACAAGTTGTAAGTAATTTTAAATTTCAATTTGCATATGTTGGACTGTCCATTATTCACATTTTAATATTTATTTTTAAAGCTTTTCTGTGGCATCCATAGTCAAAAAGGCTTAGGTCACTGGCTTAATGTTGCCTGTGCCATTTTGGAATTGATTCTTGCTAAGAATCTATAGGACCAGACATTGAGTTAGACTTCTGAAGTTAGGTTGATCATTCTAAGCCATGTGGACATCTATGTCTTACACATATACAAGTATAGTTACATGTATGTTATGGTATCTCATGTCATTTTTGAATCCTTGAAATATTAATGACTTTGTGTTTATTACTAAACAACAGTACAGCAAGCCACATATATATGCTTTGTTTCAAAAGCAAAAGCTCTTCTTTTCACATCAAAGCCTACAAATATGATTGTGACTTTAATTTTGTCAGCTTGACCAAGCGCCACAGGGAAAAATGACCACATAGGTCTATTGATTGTCTAACGGTCTCTCGTTTTCAAATGACCGCATAGACAAATAATTGAGCATCAGAAATTATATTAGTCCTCAAGTCCCCTACAGTTCTGTGTGATCAGCAAGAATATATTTATATAAGTATTAAAGCAGGATGAATTTCTGTTATAAAGGAATATTTAGATATAAAGAGGTATGTTTTCTTTAAATTTTCTTTTGATATCATGCTGGTTATTTCTTATTTATAATAATTACTTATTTTAAGGAGATAATGTATAAGGTTATCAATTTTTAATGTTTGAAATAATATCTTATTCAATAGAATGTGCAGCTTTTGACCAATTTAATTCTGTGAATGGCTGCTTATGAACATAGAACTGTACTTTAAGGGTATATAAAGTTGATTAAACCAGAAAGAGAATCTAGTCTAGAAATGGAGCTCTACCATTGGTCAATTTCAAATGTGTGTTTTGAATTGTCCAATCACATGCAGGAGTTTGAGACTAATACTCTAATTAAGCTGAAGTGACTGGCTGTTAAAATGACCGGGCCCCATAAATAACAAGACTTGCAGACTTGTTATGGTAACATTTAAATAACAATACACCAGCTAATCTTTCTCTCCCTTTAGATGATGAATATTTAAAGTTCTCCAGTCATTTCATCTTCTATAAAGTATAATTTGTACAAAAATTATCTCCTTTGGCATTTTACTTTGCGATATAACTCTGACACTGTGAGTTAGGCAGGCCACTTTTCCCTCCTTTTCTCAGAATAAAAGATTTTATAAAAAATATTTGCTAAGACTGAGAAATATTTTGTTCAGTCCTAATTGTGTTATGTTTTGTGAGGGGGCGTGTTTATCATTCTCCGCCTTCTCCATTATTGAATAAACCTTTTTGCTGTCTTCAGTTACAGACTAGGCTATGTATAGTGCTTGGTAATCATAAAGAACATGTTTTTTCCACCCTCCCGAAAAGAAATCATTAGAATGCAATTAGATTTTTCATAAGTACCACAGTTGTAAAGGTCTGTTAATGCAATTAACCTGTACATAACAAACAGCAGGGTTAAAACCATTACAATCTCTCATGAAAATTTGATGGACTTTTTTTTTCACAAGCTGGCTGTTTTTAAGGAAGGAATTTTGGAATTTTTTGGAAATGAGATACAGGTATGTTATGAGAATTTATAGTTAATAGACATTCATCTTATGAGATTTTCTGAAAGGATTTAACAGGTTGTTGGTAAAAGGATTTCAATCTGTCCTTAAAGGAACTCCACTGAGGTCAAAAAGCCTCAAAACATAAAATTTGAAATTTCTTATATACGTACATAGATCAAGTGAAGCATCTAAAAAGGAAAAATCTGCAAATTATGATAAAGAATTATTCTGGAAAAACAGGGTGTCAGGGATGATCTGAAAGTTTTTACACAAGTTATTGATTTAGTCACCTACATCAAATAGTACTCAAACTGCAGTCCGGTCATGTGAAAAAACCCAATTCAGTCACACTTGAGTCCCTTTAATGCATGCCTCCTTATCAACACAAAATTATAATGACAGTCATAATATTATTTTAATAAATAGTCTCATAGATAAATAAAAAAACTTCATATGGTTAAAGCAAAAAACTTCTTATTCAAGGGTAGGTAACTAAAGAAAATAAGCACAGCGAGGCTTAATTTTTCTCTCACTTTCATGGTAATGTTATCGTATTCAAAGATCATGCAAAGTTTAACTAAATCCTATGAAACATTTTTCATTCTGCCTGCCATATGTCTATGACATGATCTGTATGTGTTTTTTTATTGAAATGTTTATGTCTAGATCTGGTCTCTCAGTTCGTTCATTCATGAGTTAATAAACATCTACTTATAACAATTCTAGGTAATAAAACAACAGTCCTTTGTGTTATTCCACTTGAGTAAATCAAGTTAGCTTTCATCTTGGTTAATTAGTACAGAAAATATGTTACCACAGTTACAAGATACTTAGAATACAATTCAACTTCATTAAACATCTTTTAGCAAAATAGCAGAGTTGTCATAAAAAGTGATCAATTTATGAGAAATTTTCAAGCTGAAGTCACATATTAATTAAATAAACCAGAAATAGAGTGCTCCCTTATATCTTCATAAGCAAGGTTGTCACAAGACATTATAACTTGTTTGAACTTTAGGTTGTAAGTCTTTGTCTTGATCTGTTTGTACTATTATATTTGTACTATTGGTTTTTGTATTGATCAGTTTGTAATATTGGTATATTTGTACTATTGGTATATTGTATTTGTATGTTTGTACTATTGGTATATTTGTACTATTGGTATATTTGTATTATTGGTATATTGTATTGATCAGTTTGTACTATTGGTATATTTATACTATTGGTATATTTTATTGATCAGTTTGTACTATTGATCAGTTTGTACTATTGGTATATTTGTACTATTGGTATATTTGTATTATTGGTATATTGTATTGATATGTTTGTAATATTGGTATATTTATACTATTGGTATATTGTTTTGATCAGTTTGAACTATTGATATGTTTGTACTATTGGTAAATTTGTACTATTGGTTAATATTTGTACTATTGGTATATTGTATTGATATATTTGTACTATTGGTATGTTTGTACTATTGGTTTATTGTATTATTGGTATGTTGTATTGATATGTTTGTAATATTGGTATGTTTGTAATATTGGTATATTGTATTGATCAGTTTGTACTATTGGTATATTTATACTATTGGTATATTGTATTGATCAGTTTGTAATATTGGTATGTTTCTACTATTGGTATATTGTATTGATATGTTTGTAATATTGGTATATTTATACTATTGGTTTATTGTATTGATCAGTTTGTAATATTGATATATTTGTACTATTGGTATATTGTATTGATATGTTTGTACTATTGATATATTTGTACTATTGGTTTATTGTATTGATCAGTTTGTAATATTGGTATATTTGTACTATTGGTATATTGTATTGATATGTTTGTACTATTGGTATATTTGTACTATTGTTTATGTATTGATCAGTTTGAACTATTGGTATATTTGTACTATTGGTATATTGTAATGATTTGTTTGTACTATTGGTATATTTGTACTATTGGTATATTTGCAGTATTGGTATATTGTATTGATGTGTTTTTACTATTGGTACACTTGGATTTATGATTGTGAACTGGAAATATGATAGTGTTCAACTGTTCATCATGCCACGTCTCATAACTCTTTTTTGCATCTTGACAGAGTTAAGCCCCTTTATACTGTCCTGAAATTTACATTTACTTAAATATCTCGGACACCATATCAGATACTCACTTGAAACTTAATGGTGTATGTTATAATGAAGGAACATACACAGGATTAGCTGAGGCTAAATTTCATTTTTCAGTGTTACATTTTGACAAAGTTATGTCCCTTTGTTACTTAAAAAAAAAAACTTTTAATTTTCATCAGAAACCAGAGTTGAGGCTTAAAACTTATGCAAGATGTCACAATCAAGATCTGAATAATTATCTGAAATCAGTACTTTTTTGACAGATAAAATTCTTACTGCATAATCCCCACCCACTTGATTTTTGATGTATTTTGATTCACATCTATGACTTTGTATGGTGCATTATAAACTGTGACTGACTTATTTAATCTGTGACTTGAGCTACCGGTACATGTTATATACATGTATATTTATAAAGAACCCAAGTAATCTGTGACAAACCTTTTGATATGTAACATTTTAGACATTTGAAAAAGAAGCTTTCGAATAAAATGTAAGTAAACTTAAAGGCTAGACCAAAAAAGATGTGATAATATTTTGATAATCTGTTTTTTCCCCAATCTTTTTGTTCAAATAAGGAGGTCTCTGTTGACAACTGGATGAGCAGAATAATGGAAAATGTTACTTAAGGTCAGACTCTAGCAGACTATCCAATTATTTAAAACATTACTTTCTTTGTCTGGGGAGAAACTGTTTTAAGAGTTGCCGTCTGGAAAGCTTCACAGATTGAAGACTCAGACTTTGTCTGTCAAGGGTTTTGAAAATGTACCGCAGTCACATTAAAGTTATATATTCGTTCATATATAATATGTCAGTTTCATTGGAGAGAAAAAAAGAAAGAAATAGAATCAGACAAATGAGAAGGAACTATTACTAAATTCATCGGTGTAATGCTAACAAAAAAGTCTCTGGGTGTTCTGATAATTGAATTCTCTGAGGGTATTATCTCGCAGACTTTATTGTTCAGTATTGATAATGTAGAAATCTTAAATTGATAAAAACTGAACATTGGTATTACCAACAATCTTCACTCCTGATCAAGATGATACAATTTTATTGACCCCAAAAAAAACATGAGATATATGGGAAGAAAGAAAATTCTAGCCACATGCAGTGACCTTGACCTCATTGGCTCTTTATATTCCACCCATTATAGGTAGAAGCCTTTTAATGGTATGTGCATACCAAATCTCTTACAATATATTGCTTAGAATGAAGGCTCTGCAGGTAAGGAAAGTAGGAAATC